CCAGAATTAAGATTGCTGGAAGAAATATCAACAACCTCAGATATGCAGATGATATCATTCTGGTGTCAGAAAGTGAGGAGGAATTAAAGAACCTCTTATAATGAGGGTGAAAGAGAAGAGTGCAAAAAATGGTCTGAAGCTCAACATCAAAAAAACTAAGATGATGGACACTGGTCCCATCACCTACTGGCAAATAGAAGGGGAAAACATGGATGTAATTACAAATTTTACTTTCTTGGGCTCCATGATCACTGCAGATGGCAACAGCAGCCACAAAATTAAAATGCGCCTGCTTCTTAGGAGGAAAGCACCAACAACCCGAGACAGCAAACATGGATGTAATTACAAATTTTACTTTCTTGGGCTCCATGATCACTGCAGATGGCAACAGCAGCCACAAAATTAAAAGGCGCCTGCTTCTTAGGAGGAAAGCAACAACAAACCGAGACAGCATCTTAAAAAAGCAGAGACCTCACCTTGCCAACAAAGGTCCACACAGTCAAAGCTATGGTTTTCCAGCAGCGATGTACATAAGTGAGAGCTGGACCATAAAGAAGGATGGCTGCCGAAGAATTGATGCTTTTGAATTGTGGTGCTGGAGGAGATTCTGGAGAGTCCCCTGGACTGCAAGGAGATCAAACCTATGCATTCTGAAGGAAATCAACCCTGAATGCTCACTGGAAGGACAGATCCTGAAGCTGTGGCTCCAATACTTTGGCCATCTCATGAGAAGAGAAGACTTCCTGGAAAAGACCCTGATGTTGGGAAAGTGTGAAGGCAAAAGAAGGGGATGACAGAGGACAAGATGGTTGGACAGTGTCACTGAAGCTACCAACATGAATTTGACCCAACTATGGGAGGCAGTGGAAGACAGGAGGGCCCGGCGTGCTCTGGTTCATGGGATCACAAAGAGTTGGACACAACTTAACGACTAAACAACAACAAAAACACACATTCAGAAACACAACAGAAAATAGTAAAAATTTTAAAAACCACAGTTCAACTAAAGTATATAACTTTGCTTATTTAATTTTATTAGACTTATACCGCCCATCTAGAACATGTCTACTCTTTACAGTTTAAGTGTCAGTTGCTTCAAGTACACTGTTAAATTTGTGCATTTAAACACCATTTCAGATAAGGTTGTGGGCAAACACCGTATGCAGCATTTAAGAACCCTGAGCATGGGGCAGTTACCACAGAGTACATGCAGCCACAAGTTCTTTGTAGCCAGTCATATAATGTGACCTCATAAGTCAAGGCTTTTAATCTGTTGCAGAAATATGGTAAGGAAAATTTAATCTTCAAGATACAAGTATAATACTGGAATTTACAAGTGACAGTGGTCTTGCCTCATTTCAGCAATGTTCTTTGTTATCATAACAAAAGTTCGGTAAACAATAATTCCTGAGACAGACAAACTTGAAGTTGATCCACATACATTTTCTGTTGAAAATAACTTTACTTCTGACATGACGTGATTAATACACCAACCATAAAAGATTGATTACTGTCTTTTGGATTATAGATCACGTTTCCTTGTTTTTCAGTGGTGAAAGACGTATCTTCATAAAGACCTACCATCACTTGAAGTAGGAAGTAAATAGTACTTTTTCTATAAAACAAAAATTTGAGGAAATTAGTTATGGGGTGTTTGCATTAAACCATGGCTCAGAATTAGATACTCAGCTGTTACTTTAAGAACTCAAAGTACACAGTCTACATAAGACAGTGAACAGTTGCAAGAAGGAACAATAAGTGAATATGTACTCTTCAGGTACTCACACAAGATAACAGGGCAGAGGGTAGGGAAAACAACTGTATATTTATCAGAATCAATTTCTGTATTGGTACAAGTCAGACTCTTTCCCCATACCCATCCTAGACTGCTGTTTAAGCCCAAAGAAGTGATTTTAACATCCCACCATTATGGATTAAATCCCATTTTACAATGCAATATTCTACACAGAGAGATCCCTGATCACATCTACAGTAAGTGTATTCATGTATGTTATGAGAATGAAAAAAGTAAATACTGAAGTGAAGAAATCTAAATAGATGATCCAATACTTTATTTGTCACAGGCAACACTGGGAGGTGGGGAACCTTTCTTGTCTCTACTAGGAATTCAACTTATTTATATAAATCACTAGTTACTCCCTGAGCACTGAACATCTGTTGGGACCACATTTCATATAAACCCTGCTCCCCCAAAACATGATCACCATGCAGGTGAGAGAAGATGGGAACTGCAGTCTAACCTGGAAACATCTGGAGGGCACAAGGTTGGAAAAGGCTCACACAAAGGGGATTATACAGGGGCAATACATAGGGTTGCTCCTGCCCTCCATGCAGAGCTGCAGCACGGGTGAAATGATTTGTGACAGCTTTTGCAGCCACCTCTTAACTAGCCTCTCCCTCAATTAAATTCTTGCCACTGGCACTTTCTGAAAATCCTTCAGGAAAAAAGAGACCAAGAATTCCCCTTGCATTTGGCAGGATACCATGAAGTTTATGAATTTATTAACCTGTATTCCTTTTAACATACTAAAACATCACTTAAAAAATTTCAAAAACAGTCTGAGAGCCAACTACTTACTGGTTTTTCAAGCACAATAGGATGATCAGGAAGAAACTCAGGTTTCTTTTGGGCAAGTGAAACCTCTGAAAGTTTCAAAAGGAAATCTCTACTGTATGTTATTCTTTCTGCCAACACAAAATTAAAGAATTTAAAATTGAGTGGAAAAGTACACAGATTTATGATATAAAACCAAATGGCTTTCTAACAAAACTGCAAGTAAAAAACACTATGCACAAATGTATTGTTCCTACATAACAAAAAAAATGGTTATTTTCTAAAAGTGTAAAATCATGTGGAAGTTGAAAATCTAAAATCTATAGCAATAGAAGCAGCAAAATGAAGGATTTTTCTGGAAGTTGTACAGACACTACTGAATCTATAGTGAATGAATTCAGAAGAGATAAGCATTAACATAGCTTTAAAGCATAGCGGTATGAAGGAAAAACCAAACACTGCCACAGTGTTTATCCAAATTAATCTGATATGTAAATAATAATCTTATAGAGAGCAAAGGCTGAAATCCAGTAGCAAGTTGCAACTAGAGTAATCCCACTGAATCAATGGGAATCTGGTGAGTCACCATCTAGGTAAGGTTGAAACTATACTGGCAAGTCAAATCAGTATGGTTCAGCACTGCTGTGGCTTGACTTGCAGCCTATTTAATAATTCAATTCAGATTTGGTGATCACGTGGAGCCAGTGGATTGTTTTGGTGCCAGGGACCACACTGACCCCTCAATCTGATGCAATTTGATCCATGCCACAACCCGCAGTTGCCATTCCTTTGATCTTATCCTCTGCTGATCCCCAGATCTCCTTTTATGGTTCACCATAAAACCTGTGGGCTGTTTAAAGTGCTAAACACCATTAAAGAAAAGTTTTCCAAAAGTTTTCCATATCATACACATTCAGACACACATACTATGGAACATAGTAGTTTGCTGTAGTTCGTCAGATTTGTTTCAATTTCATAGCGATTTTTACCTCTCTTTTTTTGGTTGTGAAGAGATGATCTAGTGCTAAACTAATATATCAATGCAGTGATAAGGTGATTTTTTTTTCCTAGGAGGCTGAGCTGAGGCTGAAGACCAGGTTTGCCTGCATGGATGTTTTGCTGGGATTTCTTTTGTCCCCCCCCCGCATGGCCTAGGAGGTGGGGCTTTCCCATCTTAAATGAGGGTGTGCCAGGACTGTGCACCGTTAGGTGTGCAAAATCCTCAAATTCTCTGACTCTATCTCTGACCCTAATATGGTAAATAGGAAAGCCAATTAGCATTGCATACACCTGGGAGGCAGGAAAGTTTAAGGGACAGATCATACTTCCGCACTATTAGAGAGCAGGCCAGGTAGGCAGGGCTTGTCAGCCATGGAAGGCAGCCCATCTAGGAGAAGGAAAACTCCAACTTCAAACCTCCACTGCCTTGTGGCTATATTCACTCATGGAAAAGGCTTCAGGAGTTAACCTACAGGCAAAATCCGGAGCTGGAGTCCCGAAGACAGTTCGTGTCGTTCTGCCAACTCCTGCGATGTTGCTGGAACCAGTTGTATTGGCTCTTGCCTTTCCATTGGACCATTTCAGCAACGTGGAGAGGGGGGATTTGCTGCTTGGGTAACAGCCTATCCTCCATACTACTTTACCCAGGCTTCATGCTCTGGAGAGGACACTTCTCGATACAGAGCATGTTACCATAGTCTCTCGAGACTGAAGGATGCCTATGATGATAAGGTGATCTAATGCTAAACTCAGTAGTTTGGCTTTTAACAAATAAATAAATTAAAAATACTTCAGGACAGGAAAGAAAAAGATTTTGTAGGGGTGGGTGTTCCTGCTGTACAAAACATAATACCTAATTCACCAGAATACCAACCACAGTCATCCTGCCCTGATCTTTTTGGAGAACAAAACAACTGATAACACAGGGGAAACACAGTTTGAATCATTCCAGCTTAAAAAATTAGATAACAGGGGAAAAAAAACCTCCACTTTGGAACCAAAAGGGGCTGTGTCGATTCACATTGTCCTTCATGTCATGTGATCACTGTAAAAAACCTCAAAAGCATTATTTTCACTTCTGCAGCAAATCCCATACTATTTATCCATGTAATTCCAACCTATTCCACTGATTCAACAGCGCTACTTTATTGCAACTTACTACTGGATTTCAATCAACTTACAGTACTCTGAATGAGCTCTTGAACATTTTTTCATTGTTCAGATGCCTGATCATTTTGGACAGAACAGAACTGTAACCCACAGTAAAAGTTGAAGGTTCCCCTTGACATTTAGTCCAGTCGTGTCCGACTCTAGGGGGCGGTGCTCATCCCTGTTTTGAAGCCATAGAGCCAGCATTTGTCCTTAGACAGTTTCTGTGGTCACGTGGCCGGCATAACTAGACACGGAACGCCGTTACATTCCCACCATCGGGTACCTATTTATCTATTTGCATTTTAACATGCTTTCAAACTGCTAGGTTGGCAGGAGCTGGGACAAGAGACGGGAGCTCGCTCCATCTCATGGATTCGATCTCACGACTGCTGGTCTTCTGACCTTGCAGCACATAGGCTTCTGCAGTTTAACCCACAGCACCACCACGTACCCAGGCCCACAGTACACTTCATATAAACCTGTATAAATCAAATCAGTATTTGTCAGAATGTATCTTTCTCAGAAATTCAGTGCATGCCACCTGCTCTTCACAGGCCTTGCTTCTCTGGGCTGCCATGCTGGGAAAGACTTAGAAAACAGTCACCAAGAATTGTGCCTTCTTGACTGTGACTTCTACCTTATGGAATGGGTTCCAGGAGGAGGGGTTGTTAGGTCCCAACATTTAAGAGGATGCTTAAGTCTAATCTTTCAGGAAGCTTTTAAGGACACCCTTTTTTAAGTTATCTCTACAGGCGTTCCCATAATCCATCATCACTTGGGTTTTATTTAGCTACTGTTTGTGTGTCCTAAATTTTTTTATGTCTGTGGGGGTTTTTTATGTGTAAACAACTTAGTGTTGAACTACTTATCTAACATGATGATGATGTAGACATGCTCCAAATAAAACAATATTTAGCATTTCACATTTCTTGTTGTTTAACAATACTTTCCAGCATGTGTACATACAATGTCTACCTTTTGTAACTTCAGGTTTGTTCTGCTCTGGTAAACCTGAAAGTAGTGCTCCATTGAAGACCAGCATACCTTTAGATTTATACATCTAAAAATGAAGAAAGAAATGTTGATGTTTGGCAACGGTTTTGAATTTTATTTTATTTTATTTTGCTAACCCATACAAAAAGAACACTGGCAAAAAATGATTAATTTCAGCTAATTTAAAACTCATCACCACAGAAATCATACTGCATTTAATCAATGAACAGTCAAGCAACAGCAATACACACAAACTGTAAAAATGTGCCTTTACGAATCTTAAATAGAACATACATTTCAGTTTCATACTACTATGGAATCCCAAACATTAACTTATTTTTAAACACAGTGGTCAGAATCCCCTTGGATTCACATAGCATGAACAGATAATCATACAAATAAATCTGCATATGCTTTCGTCTGTCACAGGCTGAGGAAGCAAGAGCATGCCAGAGAGCAATCCAAGAGGTAAAAGCCACATGAATGCCCCTACACACGGTTTTCTTCATAAGAGTCTGACCAGTAAGAGTTTATTTAAGCTGCTGCTACATACGATACTGGCAGACAAAAAATAACATTTTTCATATAATCCATCTAAGTAATGAAGTTTAATAAGAAAAAAAAACTTTTAAACAGTCAGTATAAATATTTTACACTGGTCATCTTACAATGAAGCCCCTGCAAGCTTATGAGCAGGAATAATTAACAGGGAAAATAAATACGTCATTTTGCAAGTGCATAGAGGTATCCTGGAGAGCCAGTGTGAGATAGTGGACAGTGACAGATGAGGACACCGACTTGTGTTTGAATCCCCACTTGATCATAAAGCCTCAGTGGGAGATAGTAATGGAAAACCCACTCATTGAATATTACACATACTGTACCTTGCAGATCCTATAAAGGTTACTATAAGCCATGATAACAGAATGCAACTTGATAACACATAACAATCAAGTTATATGGTACCAAGAACACAGAATTCACAGTAATATGGTGAAGGAGTTGTTGCAGTGATTAGAAATTCAGTGCCATGTTGATTTTCTTGTCTGAGTATACAGGAAGCTAGAAGTACAAGAACTACAAACAGGCCTGCCTATCCACAATTAAGCAGTCCACTCTTTTTGGACACAGTAAAGCAGACTGTCCTGGAGTACCAACAAAGGAGAGACGACTCTAGGGAGAAGGAAAAATACTAAATGCAGGAGGCAAGAACTTGGAGGCGTGACACACAGAAAGAGAACTACTGAGACCATGCCTTGCTTTCAGAGCTACAGAACTGCTATCAGGCCGTCCCCATGGACAGTGTTTTTCAGCCACTTGAACAAGGACAGCAATCTTCAAAAGAGCACATATGTGGCCATGAAGTGCTCTGCAAAAGGAAAAGTTGTTGTGAACAGAAAAGCAGCATGAGGTGCGTGGTAGTGTTATACAGAAACAGTGACATACCTGACAGGATGGATGTCTTGAGAGGTGTACTGCTTTCCTGGTGTGTGGACTAAGATGCGACAGAGAGGTTGCCAAGACTCTCAAGCTCGCTACTTATAAACACCTTCTGATCCACGCAGGGTAACAAATGACATTGTCAAGCAGAGCTTTCAACCTACTGCAAGTGACTAAGAGTCTCTGACTAGGAAGATGAAGGACCTTGAGTACAGCTGGTTATTTTGTTACTCCTTGAAGGTCATGAATATGATCCAAGAAAAGAGAGACAGAAGCAAACAACTGGCTGTGCACGTGATGTTGAGAAAGATTTGGATTTGGATGGTGGTCTGCATTTGTATGAAGAAAGCTTTCTGGCAAGAAAAAGGTAATGCATCACAGAAGTTTGGCAGACTGTGTTTCCTAGAAGTTTCGCAAATCTGATCAGAGCAGCTTTAAACTGAATCCTGGAAAGGAGTATTTCAGAAGTCAGGGGATTACCACATATTGGGGCCAACAGGATCTATCAACGATTATTGGGATGGTGGTAGGGGAACCTGTCAGAGCATGGGGAAAAAACAGGCGGGGCTTTGTTGCGGCAAGACCAGTAAGATTTCAGGAGGGCTCCTGAAACTAACCGAGACCACTCGGTTCTGACCCCCCCCCCAGGCGGGGCTTTGTTGTGGCAAGACCAGTAACCGAGACCACTTGGTTCTGACCCCCCCCCCAAAAAAAACCTGGGGAGGCAAGGACTTTGATAAGTGAAAGTCTGAAGCAGCAGAATTGACTGAGAGGGGAGAGGAACCAGTGGAAACCTGTTATTCTTCTCTTTGAAGTTTCATCTGAGTGCTTGGTCCGAGGAGGGAGCGTTTTGGCAAGAAGCTGGGAATGCCCCTCACAGAAAGTGGAAAAGTACTGAAGGATTTTGGAAAATATTTTTTGACAAGAACTTGAAGTAAGTTAAGATGTTTGTTTTACATATGGAACTCTTAAGGACCTAAATAATGAAGAGAGTGGATTTAATCTATCAAAGAAAGGGACTAGAGCTATATTTGGCAAGCCTCCCCCCCCCCCCGTTCAATTTGAGACTTGATTAGGAGAAAGAAAAGAAAGGGAGCAAGAAAATGACTTTGTTTGTATTGCTATAATAAGACTCATTCCAGCAGGACAATATAACCATAACTCACTGAACTAAAAAGTTGATGGATTTAAATCTGTGAAGCTGCCAGAAACAGTCTTAGGTTGAGGGGCTTATGGAGATGTTAGCAGAAGAAATACAGCAAACGATGGACTTTACTATGGAAAGGAGGAGGAATAGAGATCATGGGACATATGTTGTGGCAGGTGGGACAGAGGAAGAGACAGTATGTGGAGTAGATGAAGTTCTTGGGAGCAGATTTAATTATATATAAATAGTCGATAAAATGGAAGATGAAGTGATGAAAGATTACATGATACAATGGTTATAATACTGGTTATAATATTGATTTAGAGCACTGGACACAAACTTGGCTGAATAATATTAAACTTACAAATTTAGTAAGCTTTAAGATTAAAACAAAGAAAGAGAAAGTCCAGAAGATTAGTAACTATATTCTGGAAAATTGCTATATTGTTTTCTCTTTGTATGATTTCACCTCTATCTGTACCTAAACCCCTATTCCTATGGAAAATTGATTAAAAAATTTTTTTAGAAGGATAAAAAATAATAATAGGGGAACAACTAAAGGAAATTACCTATGGTTTCAGTTATATTAACACTAGTGAACGGAAGTCAGACAAGGTGATGCTGGACTTCTAACACTGGAAGGCAAATATGATTTAATTAGCATTACTGAAAGCTTGGTTGGAAAAAAACCCTCATGACTAGAATGTAATAATTAAGGTATATAAACTATTAAAATGAGCAAAATAAATAAGGGAAGAACAGCATTATTTGTAAAGGATGTGCAATATAATCCTAGAACTGTAGAGCTGGAAGGGACCTTGTGAATCATCAAGTCCAGCCCATCAAGGAGGCACAGTAGAGAATTGAACTCCCAACCTCTGGCCCCCAGAGCCAGATACCAAAACCACTGAGCACCTGTACAAATATCCAGACCATGGAAAGCTGACTGAAAGCATTTGGGTAAAAATTATAGGAAAGAGGAAAAACAGTTAACATCACTGTGGGGTCTGCCACTGGTCTTTACCTCAGACTGAAGACTTAAGTAACATCTTACAGAACATTCAAAGAGAAGAGATACAGTAATGGAAAACTTTGGCTAAGTAAGAATCTTAGCTAATCAACAGTGTAATAAAGCAGCCCCCCCCCAAAAAAAATCCCAAACAAAAAACCCTAACATGATTCCAGGCTACATCACAGAATTATTGTATTCAGATATGTCCAGTTTTGGCATCCTGGTTTAGGAAGCGTATCAACAAGCTGAAACATGTCTAGAGGAAACCAGGATAAGTAAAGGGTTTAGAAATGAAACTCTAAGAGGAATGGTTGAGACAGTATTTCTAGTCTGGAAAAAATAAGGTATGATAGCCATGGTAGTTGTAGGTATTTCAGGTGGTTTGGCCGTGTTCTGAAGGTTTTTCTTCCTAACATTCCGCCGGTCTCTGTGTCTGGCATCTTCAGAGGACAGGAGTCAGAACTCTGTGCTCTGGTGTAGTTCGTGGGATAGTTATTTATAACTGTGGGATCAGCTTTTTGTCCTTTTCAGGAGATTGTGTGATTATGGTGATCAGTGTGTCTTTTGTTGTGGGTGTATTGTTGTGATAAGGAGGAGAGATTATCTGTCACTGTGATTGATGTCATTAGCTGGTATTTTGTGTGTAGTGATCACTGGTCATTGTGGCTGGATAGAGTTCGTTGACCTTTTGCAGGCTGTATTTTTCAGTGCTAGGAGTCAGGCTTTGTTGAGTTAGGTAAAGGTAAAGGTTCCCCTTTACAATTTTTGTCCAGTCGTGTTCGACTCTAGGGGGCGGGGCTCATCCCCGTTTCCAAGCCATAGAGCCAGCATTTTGTCTGAAGACAATCTTCCGTGGTTACATGGCCAGCGCGACTTAGACACGGAACGCTGTTACCTTCCCACCAAGGTGGTCCCTATTTATCTACTTGCATTTGCATGCTTTCGAACTGCTAGGTTGGCGGGAGCTGGGACAAGTGATGGGCGCTCACTCCGTCGCGTGGATTCGATCTTACGACTGCTTGGTCTTCTGACCCTGCAGCACAGGCTTCTGTGTTTTAGCCCGCAGTCCCACCACGTCCCTTTTGTTGAGTTAGCCATCTTCAAATATTTGAAGGGGTCTCACGTGGAAGATTAAGTAAGCTTGTCTTCTGCTGCTCCAAAGGGCAGGACCTGAATCTCAAAAGGAGATTCTGACTAAACATCAGTAGAAATTTCTTGACAGTAAAAGCTGTTCAAACACAGAACTAATTACAGTAGAAAGTAGTGGATTTTCCATTGTTGGCAGTTTTTAAACAAAAACCTATTTGGCCATCTATTAGGGAGTCTTTAGATTTGGATTCCTGCATTAGCAGATTATGGACAAGACAGTCATTGCGACTCTACAGTGTCACAATTCTAAGTTAAATCTATTCTCATTTATTCATTTATATGGGCTCTTTGACAGAAGAATGCTTGTTCTCAAACTACTCCATATAAACACGAGTGCATCTAAGGAGGAAGAGCAAGAGTTCAACTATTAAACTGCTAAATGTGTAAATCCTATACTGTATAACTATACTTCCAATTTCACAGGTACAGTTAAGAAAGCTGTCAGTTTTAGATAGTAGTTTAAAACATCTTATGTTCTTACATGAAGAATAAAACAAAACCTTAAGGAACTCATTACACAGTTTGCTACTCTCTCCTGTCCTGTAACAGAAGTCTTGCTACACTTCTTTCTGAACTGGTCCCTCCAGAAGGGACAAGAGCCACTTTAAAACAGTGTATCCCTGTTCCATGAAGTATACCATAGCTAATTACATTACAACCCATCAAGAGGTCCAGTAAAACCATGAGGGTCACATTCCCCCATCCAGCTCACAAAGTAGGCTGTCCATCGAATGACCAAAGATATCCCTATCTATAACCAGGGTGAAAGCAGATTGAAACTGTTCTATATAGTGCATTTAATCCAGAAAAATCCCCAGGAGCTGGGGTGCCATCAGATGCTTCAGTATCATGCCTACGAAAGGAGAATTGGATACTGGCTGTCAATAATCTAATACAGTTGGATTCAGGGAAAGGCTGTTTTGTCATGAGGAAACTTGAGACTTGAGTTTGCCTATTCTCCACCTCTGTGCGTCAAGAAGAGTTTGGTAAGATTTTTTTTCACTTTAATAGAACTCTAGCTTCTCAAGCAGTAGAAACCAAAGATGGTGGGATATACTGTATTAAAAACTCATTCAAAGTCGACCAGAGTTTGTTATGAGCAATAGTCTCTGGCTCATACACAAGAAGAAGCTAGAAATTCTCCTTGTGGGAGTGCAGAACAGTAGAGAGTAGCAACCTGTATTCATCTCATACAGGCTTTGTCCAAATTATATACACAGCATTAAAACATGTTTCAAAGTTACAATAGAACTTAGGCCAACAGGTTATGGAGCAATCTCAAACTCCAACTGGAACAATCTAGAGAAATCCAAAATACACTGAAAGCTATTAATTTTCTAATTAAACTTACAGAGTTGATTTCATTATTCAGACATAGGGGACTGCTGCAGGGAAACTTAGGCTGGAAGCTGAAACTGATTGCTGATACTGTAGGAAAGGATGCTGCTGAAATAAGTTAATACAGTTACTTTTGTAGTATTAAATTCTTAAATAAGATTTATATTTCTGTCTTGTTAATGTAACATGGATTTTGGTCCTGCATTTTTCAACAAGTATTCTGAAATAATCAAGACACTTACCATGGGAGCAGAGATGGCGCACAGGTCTTGCTGGCTTGAGGGACTTACCAATCATCCTCTTTTTTTCCATTTTTAAAAACACTTTGAAGTGTCATGCTATGAAAAGCAATGTACACAAAGATATATATAACTACAACGCTTACAGAAATTAAGGAGAAAATGGCATTTAGAAATTTTTATATCTTCCTGTCTACTCATTCCTTGACTTCAACCTGTCCAATCTTTTCAGATCCCCATCCAATCCATTACACGGACTAACAAAATTAATTACAAACAGAATATAAACTACTAGCAGTGTAATTTTATCTAATCCTTTCATAACACTCAGTCCTAAAAATATGTACATAACTAGCTGTACCTTTTAACTGTTTATAACATATCTGGTATAAATCTTTTGTGTTAATAAAAAGGTTGATCTATTAATTCAGAGAAGAAACAATATGGTTGAAATAGAGAGGTTACTTACTTGTAACCATGGTTCAAGTGGTCCTCTGTGAATCCACACAAATGGGTTTTACTGTGCCTGTGCAGGACTCTTCAGAATATTCTAGAGCTTAAAAAGACGTGATTAGTAGGACGTTGCCTCGTAGCACGCATGCTCCACCTGCCCATAATACCTCAGTTCCAAAATGTCCGCCGTTGTCAAGGCTGTGATCCCCAGAAAGCTCAGGACAACAAGTGATGGACAGCGGGGAGGCTGGGCGGGTTGTGTGGATTCACAGAGGACCACTCGGAGAACCATGGTTACAGGTAACCTCTCTTTCTTCTTTGTGGCCTCTGTGAATGCACACAGAAGGATGACAAGCAAGGCGTTCAATATATTCGCGAAGGCTTTCACGGCCGGGATCTAATGGTTGTTCTGGGTTTTTCGGGCTCTTTGGCCGTGTTCTGAAGGTTGGTCTTCCTGACATTTCGCCAGTCCCTGGACGGCATGTTCAGAGGACAGCAACCTGTGCTCTGGTGTAGTTGGCTTGGGAGTGCAGTATTTATGGCTGTGAGATAGGCTTTTGTCTTGTCCTGTAGATGGGTGATTAGTGTGTATTGTTGTGGGTGTATTGTTTTCTTAAGGGGAAGAGGGACCTCCTCACCACTGCAGGAGTATACCGGATACCTTGCAGTTGTGGCCAGGTATATATTGGAACCACAAAACGAAGCATCCACACCAGAATCAAAGAACATAAGAGACACTACAGACTAAAACAACCAGAAAAATCTGCAGTAGCTGAACATGCCCTGAAACAAAATGGACATGAAATTTCTATACTGAAATACTGGGCAACACCAGCAATCATTACATCAGACTGCACAGGGAAGCCATTGAAATCCACAAGCACAAGCACAGTTTCAACAAAAAAGAGGAAAGTATGCAGCTCTACAAAACTTGGCTCCCAGCTATCAAACATACTACGTGCAAAAGGTCAACGAACTCTACCCCCCCACAAGGACAGGGGATCACCACACACAAAAGACCAGCTAATGACACCCATCAACCACAGGAACAGATAATCTCTTTCCCTTAGCACAACAATACACCCACAACAATACACACTAATCACCCATCTACAGGACAAGACAAAAGCCTATCTCACAGCCATAAATACTGCACTCCCAAGCCAACTACACCAGAGCACAGGTTGCTGTCCTCTGAACATGCCGTCCAGGGACTGGCGAAATGTCAGGAAGACCAACCTTCAGAACACGGCCAAAGAGCCCGAAAAACCCAGAACAACCATTAGATCCCGGCCGTGAAAGCCTTCGCGAATATATTGAACGCCTTGCTTGTCATCCTTCTGTGTGCATTCACAGAGGCCACAAAGAAGAAAGAGAGGTTACCTGTAACCATGGTTCTCCGAGTGGTCCTCTGTGAATCCACACAACCCGCCCAGCCTCATTTACCGGAAGGAGGGCCATTACGCCAACAACGAAGTTAGCACAGCCCTTCCGAAACTTGCTTCCTTCTTGGCCCTTCAGCATCAGAAGGAGGAGATGGAAATAACGTCAGGAGAATCAGAGGTTGATTAACATGGAAATCAGAAATCACTTTGGGAAGAAAGGACACATCTGGATATAATACAACTTTGTCAGGAAAAAAATGAATATAAGGGGTATCCGCTCGAAGAGCGGCCAGCTCGCTTGCTTGACATGTAGAAGTTATCACTACAAGGAACGAAGTCTTGATGGAAAGTAGTTTAAGGTGTGCAGAGGCCATGGGTTCAAATGGAGGATGAGCGAGTACACGGAGAATGACCTGAAGAGACCACTGAGGGAATGGAGGTCGAGTACCTGGGCATATGTTTCGCAAACCTCTTAGAAATCTCTTTAAAGTACAGTGAGAAAATAAATGAGAGGCTTCAGACCCTTCAGGCTGATATGAAACTATCACAGAAATATAAACTTTTAACGTTGAATGAGCCAAACCTTGGTCAAACAAATAACAAAGAAACTTGAGAAGGGTGTCTAGGGAAAATGGAACCATAGGCAATTTCTGTGATGCAGCAAATTTGATGAAGGAGTTCCATTTATATGAATATAGCAATTGAGTAGAGGGCTTCCTAGCCCTATTTAAGATTTCAGCCACGCTAGCGGAATTGGCATTGTAATCCAGCTGACGAATCCTGACTATTGTCCTCTGTATGAGTGGAACAGGCGGAAAGAGATAAAGGAGGCTGTCACCCCAGTCCACCATGAAAGCATCACCTAGAGAGTTGTCTCCTCTTCCTGCCCGTGAGCAGTACCTGCTGCATTTGGAGTTGGTCTGAGTGGTGAAGACGTCTAGGCCTGGTGTCCCCCACCAATTGCAGAGAAGGGAGAAGACAGTGTCATTGAGGGCCCACTTGTGCGTTTGGGTGGTAAGACGGCTCAGTCGATTGGCGACCTTGTTGTCCTCTGTAGCCACGTGAAGAGCCACCGGAAAAACATGGTGATTGTAATACCATTCCCACAGTTGGATCGTTACATATAAGAGATGTAAAGAATGGGTGCCACCCTGTTTGTTGATGCAGTGGTGCCTCAACCTATGACCGTCCCTACTTTTGACCATTTCAAATTATCAGCAGCTCTGGCCAAAAATTTTTGCTTCGACTTGCAACCAGAGCTTCAGCTTGCAACCAGGAAAAGGCAGGGGGAAAAGGCAGGAAATTCAAACCATTGGTGGTGAAGTGGCTACTTCTTTGTAGCTCTTTTGCCCCAATGGTCAGGGAAAGGGATGCAGACGGACTCCAAAAAGGATGGGGACGGCAGCGGCTCGGTGCCGGGAGGCTGAGCCTGGCCGGGATACTCCGGTTGCTTGCCTCCTGACAGGCTCCAACAAGGACAGGGATGGTAGCAGCTGGTAAGGTGCTGCTTTTTGCTTTTTAAAAACTGTTCTGGGTGGCTTTTGCAGGGTGGGTTTGGGCTGGGGGAGTTATGTTTCTGTGGGGTTTGTTGCTTTGTTGATTTTTTTTTTTTGCAGTCCCAGCGGGGGACTTTCTCCAATGTTTGTTTGTTTGTTTATTTAGTTATTTATTTATTTCATTTATACCCCGGCTATCTGGTCGATTGTGACCACTCTAGGTGGATTTTGTTTTTTTTTGTTTTTTTGCAGCCCCAGCACATTCCTATGGGGCTTGCAGTGTTTTATTTTTGTTTTAGTTTATTGTTTTGGTTTTTTAAAAAAAATGCTGGAATGGATTAATTACGTTCCCATGTATTTCAATGGGAAATGGTACTTCAATGGTCTAGCATAGGGTCGAACTGGGATAGGTACCAGGCCTGTAAGGACTGCATCTTCAGTTGCACATGTTGGAGTACAGACGTAGCTCATGCCACCAGACCTAGCAGGTGCTGTGTATGGTGAGCTGTCGCAGTGGTGCAAAGCCAAAAGGGGCGAATGGCTCACCTTAACTTCAGTATTCACTTTGGAGGGGGAAACACCCTGGCTGCGATGGAATCGAGATGCACCCCAATGTAATCCATGGTCTGAGATGGTTTGAGATGAGATTTTTTGTAATTCACTTGAAGGCCGAGATCCGCCAATGTCTGTAAAACGAAGGTAGTGTCCCTTCAGGTTGCGCTGTGTGATTGTGCTACTATCAACCAGTCGTCTTTATATGGAAACACCGTGATGTTGTGTATTTGAAGATAGGCAGCAACTGGAGCCATACACTTTGTGAAGGTTTCGGAGCGGTAGACAGGCTGCAGGGAAGGGCACAGAATTGGTAAGCAGTGTTCATGAAGAGGAAACAGAGATATCTGAAGTGATGTTCATGAACTGAAATGTGAAAATATGTGTCCTGTAGATCTATATTCACGAACCAGTCACCTGGTTGAAGCAGAGGGATGACTGATTCAAGGTTGACCATGCAAAAATGCCTGGGATCAATGTAGGTGTTCAGCAGTTGCAGGTCTAAAATAGGACGGAGTCCTCCATCCTTCTTGGGGACCATGAAATAACGTGAGTAAAAACCGTTCAGAATATCTTGGGGTGACACCCTCTGGATAGCATGTTTTTGAAGAAGTGTAACTTAGTCCTCTAGAGCAGGTGAGTACAATGTGGTTCTGACATGACTGAGAGGAGGAAGCTCCTTGAACTCCAACAGGTAACCAAAACGTATGATGGCTAGCACCCGTGTCCTTGATAATGGGGGCCAGATGGGGATGATGAGGGCAGCGCAGAAGAGGAGAGTCAAATATATTGTTTGTTTTTTCTTGTAGGAGAATGGAAATCTTGTCTGCGTTGAGCAGGGGCCTGTGACTGGAAAGGAGGAGCAGAAGAGGAGGGCTGAGCAAAGTTAGACCTCTCGGGAGCCTGAGTCGGAGGTTTGTAAGAGCAATAGAGATGCTGGTACAATTGATGGAAAGTGAAAGGCTTACGCCACTGATTGTAATGGTATCTGGGATATTAAATGGAGCAAGATCAGGCACAAAAATTTTGTGCAAATTTTCCATCACTTCATCAGTCTTTTTGTTGAAGAGGCCCACACCATTGAAGGGTAAATCCTTGATACAGGACCCAGCATTGTCGGTGATTCCCGAAGACCGTAACCATGCATGCTGTCTAAGGGAGATAGCAGAAGCCAGAGATTTTGAAGCAGCGCCAGAAGTATGACATGCTGCCA